TTCGTATTTAATATATAAAAATTAATTAATAAAAAATAATAATAAAATGTGAACATAAGTCATGATATGTATTATCTAATTTTTCATTATTAAACCATATATAATTATATACACACACCTGAAAATATGTTTGACAAGATATTTGAAATACTTACAAACTCTTTTAATCAATTTATAAATTAATTTGACTAAGATGATTTTTTTTTTTTAGGAAAACATAAAATAAAACTTACTTGAAAAGAAAAAAAACTTTACTCTCCATCGTAATTCTAAAGCAGAACTCTACGAAAAAAATAACTCCAAAACAAAACAAATATTCATACTCGGTAAGGTATCATTGAGAATTAAACGTGTTTTTCACGAAGGGAATGGTTTTACACTACGTTTGGCAAAATAAAACAAACAGACCGCAAAGTTGTATCGTACGGTAACGAAAACGAAGCTCACTTTTTTGACGAGTCCTCTGCTAACGGATAACGCCCCGTCAAGGAAATATGAAAAGACAGAAAGCCCAGAAACGATAAGAGCGTGTGCGGGGCACCGGAATATTCCCCGCCGGAACCAACCAGCCACATTTCCGAAAACTATATATACACAGCAACCAAGACTTGAATGTAGCTAACTCATGGGATCAGAGGGTTTTCTCACAGTTTCACCGAAAATGGCAAGTACTCATGGATTATTCCTTTTTATTTATTTTTTTGAATTTTTACTTATCTCGTACTCTTCAAATTATTCTGGTAACATGATTTGCCTGCTTCTCCATGCTTTTGAAAAAAAACATTTAATGAATTAGTGTAGCTAGGCAATAGGGATAGGTATGCCATACACACATTTTAGGGGTTCTCACTCTTTGAGTGGTTCCATGGCACTTAATGAGGCTTAATCCTACCACATAGCCACCACTTTTCCCTTAAATAACCATTACTCTGTGTGTTAAGTGTTAGTAACTGTTAATTGTAAGTATGGGCTTAATACTTAACCACCTCAATAGGTTTATGAGCACTGAAGTGGTTGCCTTCTCTAACTACCCATTTTATGCATGTCAGTATGCCACATCGCTTCAGTTGTTGCCTTTTTGGGTGAAGTTATTATTTTCAGTCTCAACACTTCAATTCTTGTCATGGTGTTCGGTGTTTTGCTTTTACAGTCATTAATTGTTACATGATTTTATCCAGGTAACTTTGTTGTACCAGATGTTGCAAATATGAAATATGAAGTTGAATTTTCCTCCGGGAATGAATTTCTGGAGACTCAGGGTAAGGACTTATCCGACAATGTGCCTGGTGGAAAGGACAAAACTTGTCCTGAACTGGAAGAAGGTATGTGTATCCCACTAGAACGGAGAAGAGAAAAGGTAAGTCGAACAGGTGGTTCATGTTCAAAGAGATCAAGGATGTCTGAATCAGAACATTCCACAAGCCTAAATGAACTAGACGAGTCAAAGGGTATTTCTGAAAAGCTTGGATCGCACCACATAAAGAGTATTTCTCCTAGTATTTTCTTCCCCGAAAAACATGTGTAATTTTCTTTATAATAATATGCTCATAGCCCTTTTTCCTTGATTTTCTTTTGGTATAGAGAAAAGTCAATTTCCGAGGCAAAAGTGTCATTCTACCAAGCGCGGAGAGAAAAGGAACTTTAAAGTGCCTTCTTCTATGGCTAAATATGATTCACGTTGTTTGAAATTGGGTGCCTCAATCTTTGGTTCTGCTTATGAAGGGAACAATTTATTTGGTATGTAATTATTAGGCCTGTTGTACTCTTCTGAAAATGATATATCTCCCATAGTTCATTGTGTTTGAATGATTCACTGTATGCATATTGCTGAGGGACTGAGGGTCATCGGCTCTTGTATCATGTTAGGAATTTGATATAGGTATCGGTGTCATTAAGTTATATGGAAATTCCAACCATTCTATTTAATACATTGGGGAAAGAAAGCCCATCTGTAGCCGCCTAGTTAACTATTGTGCTAAATACTGACATGCTTGCATATTCTCTATGAAGAACTAATTAAGTACGTAACATGTCTGGGGCTTTGCTCTTAGTGTTGTGATGGTAATACTATTGAAGCCAAAAACTGATCTATTTTGCTTCTAGACTTGTCAGCTTCAAACTGATCTAACACGTGTCTGCTATCACTTATCAAGTTGTCATGCTTGTTGTTGTTGTAAGCTTTTCCACCAGAATGCTTTGTGGTTTTTATGATTTGTAGTTGCCAGTACTGAATGGAGATTACATACTTCTCAACTGGAAGTTTTGGATATTGTTGTCAGTTAACTATGGTCTGAAGCACGATATTCAAGATGTCACAAAGCTTATGGATGTGCCATCATTGGATGAACTGCTTAGAGACACTTTTGACTGCCCCAGTTTGAGCAAAGATAAAAGGAAGTTGACGTCAAATACCAGTGGATTTTTTTTTAATTCAGTTAGAAAGGCTTGCTCTCTCCTGCAGCTCCCAAAGTCTGTCCAATCCCAAAATATGGCGGAGATTGATAGCTCCTTTTACAAGAAAATATCCACTAGTCAAATGAGTTCAGTTTGTGTTGTAGAAAGTATTAGCAATGGGGATAAAGAGCAGTCTTTCACATCAGATATGTCTGCATGTCACAAGGTTAGTATTTCATAGTTAATATTAAATAGATTCATGTTTGTAAAAAGTTTTAGCTCAACAGCACTGTGGTATTCAAATCATGATGAACCACCTCATGTGCAGCATAAAAGCTGCACTGGAGCGCTCAAATTCTTTGGTCACTAAGATAACCTTTTGCTTGTGCTTGTTCTTTAGTTCCAACGCAAATTTACCTTCAGTGATAGTAAATGTACAACTATATATATAATGGTAATGTGATTTATACTCTGTAGCACTTGACATCCAGGATCTTTGTGCTGAAAACGAATGTCCCTCTAGTCCACTAGACTTTCCATTATATCAACCTAAGAATGTCTTGGAACGGATTGCACTCCCTCCATCCCAGGACTTGGAATCTTTGCTTCTTGACGTGTCCAAGCTTGGTGTTCCTGCAAAGAATAGTAAGAATCTACTTCCAGGCAAGCAGGTATCTCGTCAACCTAGCTTGCCAGCCTTTCCATGGTCACATGCTTTTGGAACCCATTCTAGAATTAATTCAGACACTGTTAAGTTATCAACAAATAGAAGCACATGCCAAGGTAAATGGGCAAGGATAGGTGTAATTTCTAGCTCTACTGATATTGGTCGTGGTTGTTTCACAAACCTTGATTCATTCAGTTATGATCAGAGCCTTGTTCCTTCAACTGGTAGTTCAAACAATAAAGTTTGCCCATCTTCATTTGCTAACGTTTCTCTCTGTCAGTGGAATTCCTCATCTCCTGAAACACATTCTAAAGATTCCAAGGCTACTGCAGGTACAATTTTTTCTTCAGCTACCTGAATTTCTGTTCCTGTATATATCTAACTTATTTTCCCTCTCCATCACTATATGATGTTATTCAGTAAAACAAATCATTTGCATATGTGCACACGTGTCTAACTATATCTCTATACAGTTTTCCTTCTTTTGTACGATCTTTTCCTTGGTTGGGCAACGTGCACCTTCAGGAAAAATCAGTCAAAATTTCCCTTCACGTTATTTCCATCATGAACTATGTTTGTCACAAATTGTATTTTAAATCTTATAATCTAGCGACCGTGAACAGTGAGGACTCAGATTTTAGGCCTGACCTGTTTAACATTTTTACATAAATAATTTGCTGAAGTTGCAAGTGGTGTTAGGTGTCTCTGTCTTTGCCCCTGCTTAATATTTTAGTCTGTGGCAGGTGCGCACTGTCCAAGGTTATTAGAAGCTGCACAGACCCTGTATGAAATTGCAAGTTACTCACCAAGATGGAATTCATATGGAACTATAAGGTTGCAGAAGACTTCACATAAGGCCATGAAAGGTAAAAACTTAAAGCCAAGGACGGAGCCAAGGGGGGACCTACGGGTGCCACGGCCCCCCCAACAATTTTAATTTTTTTTTATATACATATATATTACTATATGGCACCCCCTATTTTTAATATAAACTCATATGTATAATTAAATGAATAACCCAAATTTATTTTTTTATTCAACTTTTGGACTTCTGGTACGGCCTGCTATGTGGTATCACTTTGGAATTTTTTTTTTTTTAAAAAAATGTAGCGCCTCATTTGATCATTCCAATTCTCGGCCCCCCAGTATTGAAATCCTGGCTCCGTCCCTGC